CAGTATGATTTTCAAATTTTAACTCGAAAAAGGCGCTTTGCATGGCGGTTAAGAGCTGTTAAAACCATTTTACAAATAAAATTTGAATTAGTTAAAATGAAAAAGCGTACTGTTGCTTTTATTTTATTTTATTTTTTCAGTCCCCACCATACGAATAAGAAAAAAATCTCTCTATTTTACGCTTTTTGTTTGTTTCTTCTCTCTGTCTTTTGTTTTTCGTATGAAACAATGGAACCACCACAAGAGCAAATCAACGGCGCCGGAGACTGTTCGGTTTCTGGATTCGACTCGGCGGAGAAAGTAATTTTCCGATGGGACGCGACGGCGTCAGAAGAAGCTAGAGAGAAGATGATATTCAACGATCCACAAGAAGTGAAGCTTTACCTTCACGCCGTCGATGAAATCCAACGGTTTGTATCATCCGGCGGAGAAATCGAAACCCGAGCTAATTCCGCTATCCAGATCGCTATGGCTCGTCTCGAAGACGAGTTCCGGAATATCCTCGTCTCTCACAGCTCTCCGATCAACTCTGATTCTCTAATGTCGTCTTCCTCTTCTTCTCATCTGGAGGTTGAAGAAGACGGGAGTAGTAATAATGGTACTAACTGTAATGAGGAAGATGAGCAAGAGGAAGAAGAAGCGGATCTTTTAAAACGAACCGGGTCGAGTTCCGGGTCGGTTCGATTACCGACGGGAAGAGGTAGTTACAGTAGATCTACTAGCAGTATACGCGAGATCGAGCTGATTCCGATCGATGCGGTGGTTTATCTGAGCTGGATTGCTCGGCGTATGGTCTCCGCTGGTTATCTCCGTGAATGTATTCAAGTGTACGGAAGCGTACGCAAATCCGCCGTCGATTCGAGTTTCCGTCGATTAGGGATTGAGAAATTAAGCATCGGAGATGTTCAGAGGCTAAACTGGGAAGCGTTAGAGCAGAAGATCCGTCGATGGATCCGAGCAGCTAAGATCTGTGTGCGAGTCGTCTTCGCGAGCGAGAAATTGCTTTGCGAGCATGTCTTTGATAGCGTCGGAGCTGTCAATATTCACGAAGCTTGTTTCATGGAAACCGTCAAAGGTCCGGCGATTCAACTTTTCAACTTCGCGGAGGCGATCAGTATTAGCCGGAGATCACCGGAGAAGCTCTTCAAAATCCTTGATCTACACGACGCTTTGATTGAGCTTTTGCCAGATATCGAGTCTGTTTTCGATCTGAAATCTTCCGATTCGATTAGAGTTCAAGCGGCGGAGATACTTTCGAGATTGGCGGAAGCGGCGAGAGGGATATTATCGGAATTCGAAAACGCCGTTCTCCGTGAACCTTCTAGAGTTCCTGTTCCCGGAGGAACGATACATCCATTGACGAGGTACGTTATGAACTACATCAGCTTGATCTCTGAGTATAGACCAACTTTAATCGATCTCATCATGTCGAAACCATCGAGAAACGCCACCGATACGAACTCACCGGAAATCGATTTCTCTGAGCTAGAGAACAAAGTTCCATTAGCATTACATCTGATCTGGATCATACTGATCCTACAGTTCAATCTGGAAGGAAAATCAAAACATTACAGAGACGCAGCATTATCTCATCTTTTCATCATGAACAATGTACACTACATTGTACAGAAGATCAAAGGATCGCCGGAGCTACGAGAAATGATCGGAGATCTTTACCTGAGAAAGCTAACGGGTAAGTTTAGGCAAGCCGCGACGTATTACCAAAGAGCCGCTTGGGTTAAAGTCTTGTATTGCTTAAGAGACGAAGGATTACACACGAAAGGAAGTTTTTCTTCGGGTGTTTCGAAAAGCGCATTGAGGGAGAGGTTCAAATCTTTCAATGCTTTGTTTGAGGAAGTTCATAGGGTTCAATCACAATGGTTGGTACCAGATTCTCAGCTGAGGGAAGAGTTGAAGATATCGATATTGGAGAAGCTTAGTCCGGCTTACAGATCGTTTCTCGGGAGGTTCAGGAGCCACATAGAGAGCGGGAAACACCCCGAGAATTACATTAAGATCACAGTCGAAGAGCTAGAGACCGAAGTTCTTGACTTGTTCGAGGGGTTATCTGCAACTCAGCATTTGAGAAGACGATCAGAGTGAAAAGATAAGTTCTTTTTATTCTTCTGAGTTTTAGAGTTTTACAGAGAAAACAGATTCTTTGAATTCTTTTCGCAAATTCGGGTTCTTTGCGGGAGAGCCAAAAAGCCAAGATACGACTTTGATTTTAAAAAAAAATTCAGATTCACGAGTTGTAATATTGTATGAATTTATAACATATCTGTTTGGTTTCTTGCCAAAATCTTAGTTTAAATCTTCTTTTGTTCATATGATGAAAACTGTTTTGTGTCAATGTTATATCCCTTTGTACGCTTATTTGCTATGGTAAGTTTTGGTTTTGGTTTACTCCATTTCTTCTACTTCATAGACCAAAGCATATGTTATCAGAAACAAACCAAACTTTAATATAAACTTAAACATTACTTAATAACAAAAACAGGGTACATAAAACTAACACTACAACACCAGAAGACAAAGAGGCTGATTTGGTCTCTTGAACTTTTGTATTGTACAAACTAAAACTCACGTGACCTAAAAGAATACATGTAGTAAAATTTGAGGTGTTTGATAAAGAGAAAGAAGTATCAAGTAGATGATTGTGACTATTGCTTGATTGTCTCACTACTTTACTCCCTTTTGTCTTCTTCCAAATCTTTCTCTGATTCTCCTTTGTCACCTACCAAAGGTCTGGTTTCTGAGAGGTTCTTGACTTCGTGAGAAGGAATTGGAGATGGTTTAATGAGGGTTAGTGTGTAATCGTCTTTCTCAAACTCCCCGCTTGTATCCCCGGAAGATCCAGAATATGCGTACCTATAAGAAGACAAGGATGGTGCAAAGATTAGATGTCATGAGCTTAGCTTAATTTGCATTTACGCTATGCCACTATCATTGAGAATTTTTCTATCCCTAACTCAAAACAACTGACCAAACGCATTTTCAAATGTTCTTCTTGGATATGGTGTTACCTAGTCGAGTTTGAGGATGGAGCCCAGAGAGAACAGATAACAGTTAGGAGCGAGAAGGAGAGAAGTTGCCAAAAGGCCGGGATGATCCACGCGTTTTGCCAATGTTCGTTGTAAACATCCTTCGACTTGAAATAAAGCTGCAAAAGTCAAAAGCTTTAGTACAAATCTTATTCTGATTTTGAATTCGAACAATCCAGTGGTTCTCAACGACAGTTGTTTGTTGTATTACCTCGTAGCAAATCCAACCAACGGAAACCAAAATGGCTACAGCCAAAGCATTTGTGAACTTTCGGTATATATCCAACTTGACCAATAACCTTCTTGTCTGAAGCTTCTTGAACGTAGCAGAGAGCGATTTGAATATCCATATAATGAAGAAAGCATCCAATATCGCAACAGGAAGAACGAAAAACAATCGAGCTTTCCCCGAGAGATCGCTGACAGCACCGACATTTTCCATCAGTTCAAGAATTTCAGATGCAGCAAAGAAAGTGACCCCAAGCATGATAACCTTTGATGTAAATCCCCCAAGCGTAGGTCTCACAACACCGTATCCCATCGAAACCATCAGGATGATAATACGAGCACTTGTACGCTTGATAGAGCCAAACGTGACTGCCCAGATAGTGATCACAGTCGGTCTGACTCCAGTCTCGTTGAATTCCGCGTAATCAAAATACCAAAGCGCCATCTCACACATACCCAGTGTAATCACCAGAGTTAAGCAGTTCTGCAACGGAAGCACTTCTCTCCAGAACCTCGCGCACTGCGAGAACCAGAAGATTCCAAGCAACACAAAAGCAAGCGACATGAACCCGTAAAAGTACATCAACGGAGCCATTCTACCGGGTAGATAACCACTCGGGTTTTTCCAAATGGTTTTCCCTTCTACAACCAAATCCTTGAGACCAGGATCACAATGAATGAAGTATAGGTTGTACATTCCGGTCCTAGTGATCTGGATCGATCTTGTTGGCAGCGTACCAGACAACTCGTTCTCACTCAAAGAAACACCAAACACTTGTGGCCAAGCAGAATCTTTAATAGAAGGATGGTGAATGATCTCTCCATGTGAACAAACACCGAGTTTCGCCAGATCAGATGTGCAACACACAGCTCTTTGCCCACCATAAGCCGAACCTCCAATGTTTTCACGGTCTTCTACCTCGAAAACAACGGCATGGATAGGTAATGAAGATCTATTGGAAACTTCCTCAGGTCTCTGGAACTTGATCTTCTCAAAACTGTTAATGCATTCGCCATAGAATCCAAAGTAAGAAACTTTCACAGGAAAACAGCTAAAGAAGTTGCTCAGAACAAGACGAAATTACAACTCTTAAAGACATAAATCGATAAAACATTGCCCCTAATGACTTGTGATTCCAAATCGGGATCCTAAGCAGATGGAATCTACCCTTAAGTAAAGAGAATGAATCAGAGAACTGAAAAAGGCCTAAACTTTACCGGATAAATGAAACGGAATCGGAGTCGGAAATGAAATTGTCGGAAGGAGAAGAGGAGTAGATGCCTTCACTACCGCCATGGAAGACAAAGGCGTTGCCTTTAGTCATGAATCTCCCGTTTCGGTACTCGTGCACCGACGCTTGGACCAAAGAAGAAGTCAAGCATAGTAAAAGGAGAAGATGGAGCAACATTGAAACCGATTTCTTCGCAGAGATCTGAAGAAAGAGAGAAAAAAAGTTGCTGACTGAGGAAGAAGAAGTCAGTGAGAAGAAGGAAGAAAGTGAGATGTGTCAATGGATCAATCGTACGGCTGTTAAAGGTTGCATCTTTAGCTGGTTCCAAATGTTCGTAAGCTTCTGTCTGTGAAAGAAAATAGTTGGACCCGTGAAGCCTCTAGTTTATTCAGAAGGTTTTATGGGCTTTCAAAAGTGGCTTTTTGCTGAAGGGTTTGTGTTGTTATTTATATTCACAAGAGGGGGCTAAGAGAATGTTAACCTAAACTTGTCTGCGTTACATTGATCATTGTTGAGACTTGAAACAATGAAGAAGAAGATGACTACATTTCCAAGGGATTTGTGGGAGGAGATCCTCTCCAAGGTTCCTATGCCATCTCTTTGGAGAGTTCGATCAACTTGCAAAACATGGAACACTTTAACCAAAGATGTGTGCTTTTCAAAGAAGCACCTTGGATCAAGAGCAAAAGAGTTTCTTTTGGTCATGATGATGGAATTTAAGGTTTATTTGATGAGGGTCGTCGAAATTG